GGGGGGGGGGCATCGAGCACAGCCCAGCAGCCCTGAGTCAGGCACCTCCACCCTGACCCCCGAGGCCTGCCCGCTGCTGCTGAGTGTGAAGCCCAGGCAGCCCCCCCCGCCCCCCGTTTCCTGGGAGCAGGGGATCCCGCCCTCAGACAGACTGGGGAGTGTGCCCCTGGCCCAGCGCCTGGTTCCCATGAGCACACAGGCCACAGAAGGGCCAAGCTCCGCCCTGGTGCCAGGCGGCCTCGGGCCACTCACCGTGAGGAAGGGGTGCCGGGAGTTCTGCAGGACACGGTTCTCCGTGAGCGTGTGGGCCACTTCGTCCTGGAAGACAGGCCTGTGAGCGTGGTTCCCCGCCCCCCTGCCCCCGCGGTGCCCAGGCTGGCACCCACCTTGGCCACGATGACTTCCTTCTTGAGGATCTTCATGGCGTAGTAGCGGCCGGTGGCCTTCTCCTTCACGAGGATCACCTTCCCGAAGGTGCCCTTGCCCAGCAGCTTGAGGTACTCAAACTCGTTCATGGTCTGCAGGGGGAGCGGGCGGAGTCAGGGGCGGAGGCGGGGCTGGCACCCACGGGAGTCAGCGGGCTTGCTGGAGAACGTGGGACTCTTTATCTCGACTCCGAGCACTGGGGTTTGGGGGGACAGCGCGAGTGACAGTGTCCCCACCTCACTTCTGACACAGGCTGTCTGGTGGTCAGACCATGCTGCCCATAGGGAGGGACCCAGGTTGGAGATCTCGTGGGAGGGGGGTCCCAGGGCACCAAGGCTCCCCCAGGGCCAGCCTGCTGGGACCCTGGAACCACCAGGCCCCTGCAGAGGCAGGGGAAGGGCCTCACCACACGGTGCTTGGGCTTGGCCAGAGCCACCTCCATCTCTTCGGCTCCTGAGTTGTCGCTGGGTGAGCCTGAGCGGAAGTCCATCATCTCCTCCTCCTGCCTCTTGAGCCCGTCGGCCACGGTCTGGATGGCAGTCGTCCACTCCTCCCTGCAGGGCAGCCAGGCGAGGCCGTGAGCCCTGTCCAGGCCCGGGGCTCACCCCGGAAGCCCAGCTCAGAGGTCCGGGACACTGGGGACACCGAGGCCAGGCCCCAGCAGGACTGTGCCCCCTCCTCCCACGGGCCCGGGAGCACCGAGGGCGCCG